CCCGAATTCTGCACCATCTTGTCGAGCAAATTCTGACCTTCTCTCCAAGTCTTGCTCAAGAATGCCCCACCAGCCGAGGCATCAACTATATTCTTCAAGCTGTCTGACAGTCCCATGTAAAACCGTTGTCCCAACATCTGCTCTGGAACACCATGGTGGGGGCACATAACCAACATTCCTTTAAACCTGCCCCATGTCTCGTGTAGTGTCTCCATTGATTTCTGTTTGAAGCTCACAATCTCATCAATTTGTTGAGCGGTCTTGTTGGGAGGATGGAACATGTTGTGAAATTGCTTGATCAACTCATCCCAAATTGCTATAGAGTTTATGGGAAGCGAGTTTAGCCAAACCTGAGCAGCTCCTGTCACCGAGAATGGAAACAATAATAGCCTGATTGCTTCCGGAGTCACGTTGGGTTGCCTTTGAGTTTTGCAAATAGACAGGAAGTTCTTTAAGTGCTGCTGAGGGTCTTCTGTTTGTGTCCCAGAAAAAAGTCCCTTGTTCTGCAACAAGTGTAGCATGTTATTTGTGATCTGGAACGATTCAGCTTGTATTGCGGGCACAATAATGGCAGTGGCCAAATTGTCAGCTGTGGGTTGTGCCCAGTCATATAGTGCACCCTCAGGCACAAGAGGTGCCAATTGCTCATTCCTGACGTTCCCGTTGGGGTCGTTTATGTCGCCCATGTCAATTTCGAGTTGGTGTATTTGTTGTGATTGTTGAAGTCTTTTGTTTGCACGATTCAATGCCCGGAATGTCTTCTCGGGGTCTGAGAGTCCTTCAAGTAGTTCTCCAGTCCTCGTAGAATTTCTAGGCATGCACCTGTGCACCCAGATCAACAACCGTCAAATTTTCAATGAAAAAGTTGGTAGAGAGAAAACTGACTACAACAAGAATCTTTGTATTTCTGTCAATGGCAATTGATAATTCCGTTAACTCCCCGGCAACGACGCCAAAATTTGATCACGCCCAACTATGCCTTATAAAAAGGATTCTGCGGAAGTTGCAAATATAACCCGAGTATTACGCCCAGGGTCGAATCCACAGAGAGTTAACCTATCAACCACTATCTTCAGACCCACTAATTCTTCAGAACCAGCTTCCCAAATATTCAAATCTCAGTTGAGTGTTCTTTAACGACTAGCTTGCAAGTAACTAAATAGTTGTAAACTAAACTAATGAGGTTGTAAACAATTATGAGGAAAAGCTAAGGCAATGATTTCCCCTATTGATGGAATCCCTTCTGTTTATGCTCATACAAATTTACCCACACATCTTTATCAATCATGAACGCTAATCTTGCCGCAAATTTCTCCCGAGTAATCACAGTAATCTACTATTGCACTCTCCCGAGATACACTAGCTTGCTTTATTTAGCACAATTCAATTTAGATTGCACCCAAGGCTTCATTATGCCTAATCCCGCCTTTAAACCCGCAATTATAGATTCCTCTAATAATTTAGGAGTGGTGTTGTTCAACAATACCCTAAATATGCACTCTTTTCCAAGTTATGCACACTAAATAGGCACAGCTAATTGAGGATCCTGTCAATTAACTACAACGAACACGAAGTTGAACAAATAAAGATTAAACTAGAAATTTGTATTCACATAAACAAGAAGTTCATCACCCAATAGGTTCCATCAAAGCCTTAGACAAGGAATTTAGCTACTCATGGCTATGGGAAAATAAACTAAGCTTGAATTCATCATAAAATCAAAAGAAAAGAAGAAAGATGTTTAGAGTATTTTCTCACAATCTTTTTTCTTGCTAAGAAACCTAAAAAATCAATACATGCCTCTCTTGGGCGAAGTCTAATGTTTTAAATAGGGTTTAGGTCTAAAAATCCCGTAATTGACACTTTGGTTCCTGAAGTTTACTGCGCCTGCCGCGGTTCTGCCGCGGTCGCGGTAGAACCGCGGCCAAACACCCTCGCGGAATCTCTGAACTTCTGCAGCTGCTTCCCACCGCGGTTCTGCCGCGGTCCCGGTGGAACCGCGGTGGATCCAGTTCTCTGAATCTTCGGCCTGTTTTTGCACGGGTCACTTAGGAAATTTCACAGTTGGCCTCTTTTTCATCACTTTTGACTCCAAAACTGCCCCTTAGCCGTCTTTATACATATATCACCTACAAATCATGAAAAGCACTAATAAGAGCATTTTGTCATCACTTTTAGCATTAAAACTACACAAGAAGGTGATTATTTAAGGTGTGATTATAGTCAAATTCACCTATTATCAGTCTCCCTCCAATTAATCATCCTATCTCCTTTCACGTAAAAGCGAGTTCAAAATTTTAAGTTTATAAGTTCCTATAGAAATTCCAAGTTAATAGTATATAATAATAACTAGATTAACACATTGGGTTTCAAATTAAATATCATTATACATTTAATAAATTTTTAAATATAAATACAGAATCTAGCCAAAACCTATTGAGTCCACGAAACTCGTAAATAATGCACTGAATCCGTCACATGTATGCGCAATTATATCTTTATTATAGATGCATGAGCGTGTCTTAGGTTGGAATTTGCTTATATATTGGAAAGTCACCCTGTAATTGGAATTGGTGTAATTACACAACCTAGTAATTACACAATTGTGTAATTACGACGGCCTGTTTGTTTGTCATAGTGTAATTACAGTGTAATTACAAGTTTACTGTTTGGTTGCACAATTGTAATTACATAGTTAGGTTAAATTTTAAATTAAGTAATTATTAAAACTTAAAAATTAATATAATAAATATATACCTATAAATTTTATAAGTATAAATGATATTATATTTGGTATTTAAATGTATATTTTTTCGTGGATATACATTAATTAGTAATCATATATTTATAACTAATATCATAAAAATAATTTATATAGTATATTTTTAAAATTAATAATATTTAGTTTATATACTTACAAAAAATAAAAATATACGTTTTGTAAGAACATCATGGAATTCATGTTTGATAAACTAAATTAATATTTATAAATATAGTTTCATAACATTATTCAAATGTTCCACAAAACTAATATTCTAACTAAAAAATAAACAACATGCAATATGAGCTAATACTACTAAAACAAGTAAATTGGAACCATGAATATAACACAATTTCAAAATTCAAAACAAAATAAAATAGTATAACATATGTCAAATTCCAACATAATAACAGTAAGTCCCACTGCAACTTAAGATTAGGAAACATGGTAAATTTATAACCACATTCAACAACGAAATTTTACTTTAAGTGCATCACTCATTATATGCCAAGTTTATTAATGACTCATTATTTCTAATATTAGGAGGTGTAGTTTCAAAAAATAGAATAAGAAAATAAAAAAAATATAATATAAGCAATTACATGGAATCACAAGAAGTAAAGATAGAGAAATAAAAGATAAATAATGTACAAAGAAAAATATATTTCAAAATTCAAAAGAAATTAAAAAGTAAAAATAAAATTAAAAAATTAAAATAATAGAAATAAAAAGTTATAAAGAAAATAAATTAAAATAAAAACAAAAAGGAAAGAAACTAAAAAGCAACCTTGTAATTATACAGTGTAATTACCACCAATTCTCACCTCCCCTTGAGAATTGAAGAGTGTAATTATACCCCTCCAATTACACCCAATTCTACCAAGTAATTACTTGGCCAAACAAACATGCCAAACTGTGTAATTACACCCAATTACACCCAAATCCATTTCCAAGGTGGCTTTCCAAACGGACTCTAAAATTACAACTCCATCTTACGTCAAAGTCATCAACTTGATTCAAATAATCTGAACAACTACTAGATATATCTTTGCATAATGGTTTATTATAAATTGATAATTATAAAGATGTGGACGATTTTAGACAAAAAATCACTATAATTAATCTCAACCATCATCGTCATAATTCGGGGCCTAATTTTCTTGTTGATGTTCTAGCTGAATTTGCCACATAATTTTTTATTACTAATTTGAAATTCGTATAGTTAAATAGATTAGAGTTATTTTTTCTTTATTGTGTATATGTTATATTTTTATTTGTAAATTAAAAAGTTCGCGAGCCAAATAGGGAGAAGTGTCGTCATTAATTCACAAAGAAGCACTAATGATAATAAAACTTCACTAATACTATTAATACTTTCATAGAATGAAAATGTGATAAATGACAATATTACAAATTAGATTTCAAAGTTGGACATTGCACAAATTCAAACATTGACCAACATATGAATATATTACGTAGCATTCAAAATAAGTACTTTCCTACTTGTAGAACACTGTATTGGAATTTATAATAACTATGATATGCACAAAAACAAAGCCATATTCTTTTTTCTCCTTTTCAATTGCCCCATTGACTAACAAATATCATTAGGGAGTAATGAAGTGTCATGAAGCTTCAACTATGGCGGTGACAAGAGGAGAAATGTGAGAAGAAGAGGAAATGAGAGAAAGCAGAAGCAATCAGTTACTTCATTAAGCAGAAAAATATTCAGTGTTACATTGAGTTAAGAACTAATCTACCATTTATACACTTGTTAGTTGTAACTAACTCAACTACTAACTATAGTATAGTGTATATTAACTACTCTACTAACTGTAGTCTAGTTAAATAGGTGGAGCCTACATCTGTCAACACTCCCCCTCAAGCTGAAGGATGAAATACATTCTTCATTCCCAGCTTGCTTAGTAAGTAGTCATGCTGTGGTTTGCACAAGGCATTTGTCAGCACATTTGCTATTTGTTATGTTGTACCCACATGCTAAGTTTGAATAAGTCCTTGTACTAGTTTTTCTCTTACAAAAATGACAGTTAATATCTATGTGTTTAGTTCGTTCATGAAAAATTGAATGTGCAGCAATTTGGATTGCTGCCTTGCTGTCACAGTGTAGAGGCACAGGCAGAGCAATATCCACTCCTAGCTCCTTGAAAAGTCCAACCAACCACACAATTTTAGCTACTGTGGTTGTCATGCTTCTCAACTCTGCCTCAGCTGAGATTCTTCATATTGTCCCTTGTTTCTTTAACTTCCAGGAAATCAGTGCATCTCCAAATTTAACCACATACCCTGTGACTGACCTCCTAGACTCAACACAAGCTCCCCAATCTGAATCACAATAGGCTATTAGTTTATTACACCTTCCTGTTGGCTTGAACAGACCAAGTCCAGGTGTAGACTTGATATATCTCACTACTCTCTCAGCAGCTTTCATGTGAGAAGTCTTAGGTGCATGCATATACTGACTGAGTACCTGAACAGCAAAGGCTATATCTGGTCTTGTCATTATTAGGTACAGGAGCCTCCCAACTAGTCTTTGATAATTTCCCTTCTCTTCAAGTTGCACATCTTCAGAGTCACTATCTTTTACTATTTGATCAAACTCAACAGAGGTAAGTTTTTGAATAAACTCAAGAGGTGTATAGGCTGATTTTCCTCTTGCTAGGCTAAGTTCGGATACCAATTCTAGGGCATATTTCCTTTGACACATTAGGATACCCTTTTGAGACCTTGAGAACTCAATGCCAAGGAAATATTTTAGCTCCCCTAGATCCTTCATTTTAAAGTTCTCTTGCAAATCTTTTCTGACTTGCTGAATAAGAAGTAAGTTGCTGCCAGTTACCAACAAATCATCCACATAAACTAGGATGACTACAAGATTAGCGCCTATTCTTTTGGTGAAGAGGGAATAGTCATAATGGCTTTGAGTAAAATCCATGTCTAAGAGTGCCTCTGTTAGCTTAAGATTCCACTACCTAGGTGCTTGCTTCAATCCATACAAAGACTTATGTAGTTTACAAACCTTTTGAGTCTCCCCCTGGCTTGAAAAGTCATTAGGAACTTGCATGTAGACCTATTCTTGAACGTCACCCTGCAAAAATGCATTATGAACATTCATCTAAAAATGTACCAACCAGATGCAGCAGCTAGTGCAACTACAACCCTCACTGTGACCATCTTGGACACATGGGAGAATGTGTCTGTATAGTCCAGGCCTTCTTGTTGACTGTATCCTTTGGCTACTAGTATAGCTTTATATCTTTCCACCTCACCATTATACAATACTTAACCTTGAAAATCCACTTGCACCCTATAGGAACCTTCCCTTGAGGTAGATCAACTAAGGACCAGGTGTTATTGTCTTGTAATGCTGAAATCTCAGCATGCATAGCTTCAATCCACTTTGGATCAGCACTTGTTTCTTTGAATGTTCTGGGTTCAACAATAGCTGAATATGCAGCAAGAGAAGCCCTATAGTCTGAAGACAGTTGATTGTAAGAGACATGTTGTGATACAGGATAGGGACAAGTAGATTTCATGGGCTGAACTACATAATCAGTTAGCCATATAGGAGGTTTAGAAGGCCTGGAAGATCTTCTGAGACCTTCATGAGAAATTGAGGGTGCAGGAGGAGGGTGTCATCATAGAGAGGACTAGAAGGAGAAGACATTTGTTGAGCATCAGAAGCAGGTAATTCTGAGATAGGTACAGGTTGGCTAGTACTCTTTTCAATTAATGCATCTGTGAACTCTAATATAGGAGATAAGGGAGAAGTTCCAAGTTGCATGTGCTTGAAGGGAAAAATGTCTTCCTTGAAGACAACATCTCTACTAACAAAGAAACCCTTGGAATGTAGATCATAGAGAATATAGCCCTTTTGAGAAGATGAATATCCCATATGAACTGCTGGAATTGCCCTAGGACTAAACTTATCCCCCTTTCTGTACCTTTGTGGCATAACATAAGCTACCAAACAGTCTAAGATGTTGTAAAGAAGGTGTCTTCTGAAATAGTGCTTCAAATGGAGACTTACCTTGAAGAAGACCAGTAGGTAATCTATTTAGTAGATATACTGCTGTAGACACACACTCACCCCAAAATCTCAGAGGTATAAAGGCTTGAAATCTAAGAGCTCTAGCCATATCTAATATAGTTCTATGCCTTCTCTCCACCACCCCATTTTGTTGGGGTGTATAGACACAGGAAGTTGATGAAGAATTCGCAGACCTTGTAATAGATGATGAACTTGATCATTCACAAATTCAGTGCCATTGTAAGTTTTGAGGCACTTGACTGCAGTTTTAAACTGATTTGACACCATGGTAAGAAATTTCTTTAAAACTACAATTGTGTCTGCCTTAGTAGTTAGAAGGAAAATCCAAATATATTTAGAGAACTCATCCACCAAGGTTAAAAAATATCTCTTGCCATCATGAGTTGGTAGTCTATATGGACCCAAAACATCTGCATGAACAAGATAAAAAATAGAAGTAGAGCAAGTGGTTCTAAGAGTTGAAGATAGCCTTGATTGCTTTGCAACAGGACATACAGTACAATGCTGATGTTCATTTATAAGCAACCCTTGAAGATTATGTAGTTTCTGCAGTACTTTTAGAGGAGCATGTCCTAACCTTCTATACCACAAAGAGAAAGCATTACATGGACTTGTATTATTCTGGCTACCAGTCTTTATTTGTGCTAACAATGGTATTTACACTTGGTGATATATGATGTTCAGGAGTTTGTCTGTCTGCAACCTTGAGGATGTAGAGTCCAAGTTCTTCTCTACCAATCCCCAGTACCTTCCCACTGAAGAGTTCCTGAAAGACACAAAAGTCAAGAAAGAATGCTACCAAACACCTTAACTCTTTTGTGATCTTAGACACTAAAAGTAAGTTATACTTGAAATTTAGAATGTGAAGTATATTTTGAATTTTCTTATTTCTGAAGAAAGAACAGATTCCAGTGTGTGTAATAGAAGCTTGTTCTCCAGTAGGCAATTGGACTTTATTTTTATCCTTCTCTGATACATCTTCATAAGAGTCCGATATATTTAGACTTTGCACCATGTGATTAGATGCTCCTGTGTCTACTATCCAATTATGATCCACCAAAGTAGACATAAAAGCATGCAGTATACTTGTTGTCCCTGTAGTAGTTGAGTCAGCAACATGTTCAATATCTTTGTCCTTGTTTAGCATCTGTAGAATTTGCTGATATTGCTCTGGAGTAAAGAACTGAGCTGGAGCAGCACAGTTCAGTTGATTGCCTTGTGTTTCTGAAGGCAGATTTCCATAATTGTTCTCCATATGATTCATATTGCTGTTCACATTGTTTGCGTGAGCATTGAAAGTTCCTCCTCATCTCTTGTTCTTGAAATCACTAGGATATCCATGAAGCTTGAAACAGTTTTCCTTTGTATGACCTTTACACTTATAATAGTCACACTGAGTTGTTGATTTGTTGAAGAAATTCTTAGGTTTGTAACCTCCATAGTAGCCAGTGTTGGTGTAACCTCTAGAATTATTATATCCTCCATTGTGACCACTATTATGAGCTCTATTACTCATCATGGCAGTAGCTTCATTGTTATCATTAGAACTATTCACACCTTTTCCGGTAATCCTTTGACTTTCTACATTGATTATCATGGCATAAGCTTGGTTTAGATTGGGTAATAGTCTAGTCATAAGCACCTGATATTTGGCATTCTCAAAGGAGTCATTGAGACCTGTCAGAAACTGATAAAGCTTTTGAAGCTGATAGTGTTCTACATGCTTCTTTGATTCAGGATAGCCACATGAAGGTGGTGGAGTAAGTGTTTCATACTTATCCCAGAGTTCTCTCAAATGAGAGAAATACACAGACACAGAGGATACTCATTATGTCAAAGTAGCAATTTCCTTATGTAGATAGGCAGTTCTAGATGCATTTACTTTGTCAAATTGTTCCCTTAGATCTTCCCAGACAGTATAGGCATAGATCATAGTGCTAATCAAGTTTGGTGCCACGGTATTCATAATCCGAGCCAACACTATTGCATTACACTTATCCCATAGATCGTGAGGACTAACATCATAGTTACTTTTTTTGCAGGTGCCTAAGACAAAACCTAATTTGCTTTTACATGGAACACAATTTCAAAGATCTACTCCAAATAGAGTAGTTTTCAGAATCTTGTAACTGAATAGAGATGAGAACAGAACCTTGTGTATCGGATGTATGAATGTACAAAGTATAATGATGATCGACTTGATCAACTGATTGTGCGAAGGTGATGATGATCGACCTGATCAACTGATTGTGCGAAGGTCTGATTATTAGCAACTTCTTCATTGGCCGGCATTATCACAGACATTGAAGAAAAATATCTGAGAATTCTGAGATTGAATAGAAATGCAGCTATTAACAGTCAATTGAGGCTCAATCGAACAAATCTCCAAACCCTATTGCAAGGAGTGAGATCCAGTTTGAGAGTTGGCTCAATTGATCAAATTTACTTAGGTAATTGACTCAATTAGATCCGTCACAGCTGAGCTAACACTCGTTTAACCGAACTCTGATACCATATCATGAAGTTTCAGCTATTGCGGTGACAAGAGGAGAAATGTGAGGAAGAAGAGGAAATGAGAGAAAGCAGAAGCAATCAGTTACTTCATTGAGCAGAAAAATATTCACTGTTACATTGAACTAAGAACTAAGCTACTATTTATACACTTGTTAGTTGTAACTAACCTAACTACTAACTATAATATAGTGTATATTAACTACTCTACTAACTGTAGTCTAATAAAATAGGTGGGGCCTACATCTCTCAACATGAAGTATCAGAAATGGGTAATTACTTGTAATATTAACTTATTTTATGGTTTACCGAAATAAAAATAATTATGAGGTTCTCTGTAAAAAAAATTTGAGTCAAAGTTAACAAAAGAAAAAGTAAGCATAATTATGGGGGAAAAAACTAAGTAATTCGTAATCCAATATTTGACTCCAGTATATTTTTATATAATACAATTTTCAATAACTCAGACATATTAAACTACTCAAATTTTAGACTTTGATTCTGAATAAAATGTATTTTACGTAAAATGAAGTAAAGTGAGTAGTCATTAACAAGTATGAGCACTTTACCCTTTTAAAATTAAATTTTTTAGCGTGAATCCCAATTACTTGGACCCCAAGGCGGATATCGAATACTATGCTGTTCGCATAGAGACAGAGAATGCATGTGGTCAATTTTATTACCAGCCGGTCCAAGTTCGATGATTTTAGAAAATATTAACAAGTCCTCAATTCCAAACTTTAGAGTTTAGCATCGGTTGCTGGTAAATCTTATCAATAACATATTGGAATTTTCTGAGTTAGACAACAATTTTATAATACTAGGTCCTTCTTGTTTCGTATCTGCTTTTCTTTTTCAAATATACTAGCTTAATAATGCATTGTTTATTGCTGTGGACTCCTTATTCCACTAAATAGGGATGAAATTTAAAAATAGCCAGATTTACAAGTGGTAATTGAAAAATAGTCATGGTTTTAAAAATAATCGAAATTTAGCTACTTTTTATGTAAAAATAAATCTGAATGAAAAGCTGTTCAAAATCCTGAAAATATTCAAGCATAATATACTGGAGTTCCAGTATAATATACCGGACTTCTAGCATGATATATATTGGAGCTCCATTATAATATACTCGAGTTCCAGCATAATATACTGGAGTTCCAGTATAATATACTAGACTTCTAGCATCCAGTATAATATACTGGTCCAACATAATATGCTGGAAGTTCATATACAGGTGCTCCAATCTCCAATATATTATGATGGAACTTTCCGTATGCTGGAGTTCCAGCATAATATGCTGGAAGTTCATACTTCATACACAGGTTCACCAATCTCCAGTATATTATGCTGGAACTTTCGGGGTTGCATCA